CTCTGGGCTTCCCTGGGCCCGGCGTCCCACCAGGTGGGCAGCCGGGTGCCCTCTGGGCCGCGAGTCCAGGCGGGGCTGGGAGCAGAGAGCGCTCGACCCCTCCCTGCGGCAGTGCGGCGGCTACCCCCACGTGAGGCCCGGGCAGATGGCTGGCCAGAGCTAAATTGATTCATAATGATTTGTGTCTCTCCCCTGCCCGGCAACGGGTAACTTTTCATTAGAGACACAGATGTCTTAATAACGCGATGCCAGGCCCTCCCATGGCAGCTCCAGCATCCCCTCCACTGCACTGCAGACAGATGTGAAGAGGGGGCAAAGCGGTGAGGGGCTGAAAGGCGGCCACAGCCCAGCAGGGTTTCCATCTCCAGGCCCCAAATATCTGCTGTCAGCTTTGCCCAGGCTTTGCCAGCTGCCGCCACCTCCCAAGCTCAGGGTGGCTTTCCAGCACTGTACCCTCTCTGGCAGGGCTAACTAGTGGCCCTCACTTCAGCAGCTCTGGGGCTATGCCCTTGACTTTCCCTAGCCTCCAATTCTCTCCCCCAGAGCGAGTCTGCAGACCCAAGTTCACCACCTGCCCATTGCCAGTCCTCATGGGGGACAATGGCCCTCCAGCCCCATGGCTAATAGAGTTTCCATATCTTCTGTGGGCCTGGGTCACTATTTCTTGGTTTAAACATGTCCTGGCTGCACCACTTTCCCCGTGGACAGTCCACTGAGGTGCAGTGCTGTTGGCACCTCACTTAAGGCGCTTAGAACCCTTGGTCCTGGGTAGAGTTGTTTTTTGAGTGCCTCTCCCACTACTCTTCCCTGGGCACCGTCAGAGTGTGAGCACTACCTGTATCCCCTCCACTCCCTCCGGACTCCTACAGGCTGTGGGGTCTGCTCTGCACCCTTCTAATTGCGCCCACACTTTATGTGTGGCAGGTGTTCATTGGAGAGGTGTGGACAATGAGTGACAGTGTCCTGGTGTCCTCCATTAGTTGTCTGTCATTTTTAGATTAGTAGCTCTTTCTCTGGGCTCCTCTTGTAAAACACAAAGCCCCCTGAGGGTTTGGGTCAGTGAGGGGTCCTTATCTCACAGTGTGAATCTGTCACCTGGTGGTTTCCTGCCTGGGGCGAGGGAGGCAACTGGACTAGTAGGGGTGCTAAAGGCCAATTCAGCTGATCTCTTGATTGACTGGGGCCAGACCTCCTCACCAGGGTGTGAGGACTCCAAATCGCACACAACAGGGCCAAACCCAGTTCTGATGCCCACAGCGGCACAAGAGAAAGGAGGCTTGCATGGCTCATTCTGCCTTTGAAACTCTCCAGGGTTCATGGTGTCAAATGGAAATCACCCAGCCTGGGGTCCAAGGCCCTCCTGGCCTCCTCCAGTCAGTCTTACCCATCTAACTCCACTTGCTCCAACCACATCCTGCTCTCCTGTTGACCTGTTCCCTTCATGGACACCAGCAATTTTGTCTTGCATTTCCTGGGAGTCTTTGTTCTACCTAAGTCCACCTTTGGATACCTCTCTCTGTTCTAGTCTGTCTAGGTAAATCTATCTCATGGCCTTATCCTGGCTTGTCTGTGTGGGTGAGTTCTTTTTCTCCAATCACAAGTGCAAGATGACAGTGCCTCCAATTTCTTACGTTGACCCAGCAGAGATACATTTGGATGGCCTTGTGGGATGTGAGGTTGGAAGTTCCTCTGCTTCCCTCTTTCAGCTCCCTACAACAGCTGAAACCACCTCAACACCTGGCCTCAGATTCCTTGTGCAGCCCCAAGGGGGCAACCTGCCAGCCCAAGTCAGTACAGCATGTGCCACAAGTCTGGAAGAATGTGTGGTTTGAGAATGGAAGATCCAAATTCTTGTCCTAGCTCTGCTGCCCTTTCTCCATCTGTAAATTTTTGGCTATTTGGAACATGCTTCAAGATGGTGGCTGTCAATAGGCTTTGGAAAGAATTTAAAACAGGCAAACAAACAACTAAAAGAGCAGGGTGCATCATGGGTAAAGGCTGGTGGAGTGAATGTAGCTGCCCTCCCTTGCCAGTGCCCTTTGTAATAGACAGCATGGAGGAGGCGGGTGACTGGACAGAACTAAGGTCATTGAGTCAGTAGTTGGGGTCAGTCTGGGATGAGGGATTTGGCTCCCCCCCCCCATTCCTGTGGGGTCTTGCTGACAGCATTGCCAAATCACCAAATGTGTTCCTCGCAGACAGCTTCCTAAAGGAAGCCAAGAACCCATCTACCTCCGGAGCATGGCACAGGCAAACGTGCCCTGCTCATGTCTTTTGTTTTTCTTAATTAAAGTAGCAAGAGCCAGGATTCCGTCTCTGAAGGTGCAGCCTCGGGTCTGGATGTCTTCATTCTGGCTGTGCCATTGGTGTGCCTGCCTGTGTTGGCAGCTGGACACATGGCCTCGGGGGCCTCACAGGGAGGTGAGTGTGGGAGCCCTGCTGGATTGCAGCTCAGTCCTCCTGTCTTCCCACTGCCCCATCACCCCCAGCTTCCCACAAACCTCACCCCTTCCAGACCTCATAAGGCCTGATATCCACTTCTCTGAGGACACAGAGCAGCTGTTCTGTGCTCCGTGCTTGGCTCTGCTTGTGACTTGCTGAACTCCCTGCAGGGCTAGCACACCCAGGCCCTCACCTCTCCATTTAAAAAGCCCAGGTGCATTCCTGCCCAGAGAGCTTGGAGACTACTCATTGGTAGAGGAAGATTTGTGGGGCCCTGTATATTTAGTTCCTAGTGCTGGGCTGGTCAGCACGGTGGAGCCTGCTGGATTGTCTACTATAAACAGCAGCTGGCAAGGGCAGGACCATCTAGGTAAGCCTCAGATTGCCAGGGATCTCTAGGGTTTGATTTTCTTACCTGCAGATTGAAGGGATTGATTGGGATCTGCAAACTGAGAACTGGGAGCCCTGGGGAGTCCATGGGTGGTGAGAGGCTGGGCAGGCTGGGCTTTAAGCCCCTCTAGGAACTTTCTCTACAGCTACACAAGCAGGCAGCCCCAAATCAGGCCAAGGGTAGGCTAATGATCTATGACTGTCTCCTGATTTATGGTATACTCGTTGCTAATATTGACTGCAAAGGGATCCTATGAGTCAGGGTCATTTGCTTTGGCTTTTTTTTTTTTTTTTTTTTTTTTTAATCATAGAAGCCCAGTTTTAGCTGGGGTAGAGCTGAGTCAAGGCTTGAACCCTGGTCTGTCTCAGAGCCCCGCACCTGCCAGGAATCCTGGGTTGAGACCTCTGGAGGCCCTTTGGATGTACTTTGTTCTGACACAAGGTTGGTTCTGTTCTTTCAAGCAGGGGCTTCTCCCTGTTCTCTTCTGCTGATCATGCTTTCTCCTCCTTCCTGGCCCACCTGCCCAGCCTGGGCCAGGCTGGCAACAGCAACAGCAACAGCAGCAGCAGCAGCGGCTGTAAAGGGGCCCTGGGCCCATCTAGAGTGTGAAGGGCAGGTGCTTCAGGGAGGACAGGTGTGCAGGGTAAGGGATGGAGCTGTTAGACCCACGGCTGGGAAGAGGGACCCAGGAGGGCTTTTATAGCCTGTGAGGTCTGTCTCTCCTTCCCTTCTAATAACAGTCCAGGCCAAATTACTTCCTCCTCTAAAGTTCTGAGTTTAGAGGTCAAAAGCAAGAGGGGGCTGGGATTGTGGGCAAAAGAAAGCCAGAATGACAGTAAAAATCCTGTCCTGGGACAATGGCCTGGTGCATCATGAAGGAGGAGGCTGTTCTATTTCAGACAATGACCTTTGGAGAGAAGTCACCCTGTATGGCCTGTGGCACATGCTCTTTTGTGGCCTGGCCCTGGAATGCAGGGAGCCTGAGTAAGAACCAAGCTCCAGGCTAGTGGAGGAAGCCTCCTGCTGTGGTTTAGGAGTGCGGATCTCTCTTTCCAAGAGGGTTTCTGCTGGGGCACCATGCCATGCTAACTCTCCATGTCACCCTCCTCCCAGACCCTCTGGGCTCCCCGCAAGGAGACCCACAAAGGAGAAGGCCTGGAACATGCACCAGCCACTAACTTGTACTGTCCACTAGGTGTGGGGACTCACTGGAGGGGCGGAGCTTGGCAGGTGGGGCATTATGCTTGCTGTCATAGAGAACCCACCATGAGCCCAGCCACCTTGGAACAAGTTCCTTCTGCTAAGACCTGCTCTTCAGTTGTAAAATGGGGTGGCCACAGCCTTCAGGTGGCAGAGAGGATTTACAGAGACCTGAGTGTACGTGTTTATTTCAAACTGCCCATACTGCACTACTTTGTCATGGTTATTATATTTCCACCTCTAGGTAAAGACCTGCCCACTTCTTCCCTCTCTGGGAACCCCCTTTCTTTTCCACATTTCCAGAGCATCTATTACATCAGGAATTGTCCTGGAGGATACCTTTCCCAAGCTTCAAAACTCACAGGAGATGTTCACAGTTGTTCTTCATTCAGGAATACTTGAACACCAGCATGATACCAGGTATTCTATGGGGGCTTTTACTAACAGGCTGGACAACAGTTGGTCTAGAAGACCCCCCAAACAGAAGCACAAAACATCTAAGACAGATCCACCAGTCATTGGCCACTAACCCAGAGCTGCATGCAGTCCCTCTCAGGACTGGAAGCAGGACAAGGGTTCGTTACTCCAGAGGGGAGAAACAAGGTCTTGACTCAAAAAGACACTTGCCCACCCAATTGGCAACGTGCTCTTGGGCAAACCAACTCAGCTCTTATGGCTTAACTGTCCCCAAGCACATCCACTTCCAGCTATGCCCTGGCTCAGATGTTCCCTGATGCTCTGCCTCTCCCCGATGCTGATGACTGTCACTGGTGTAGGCCATCTGGGAGAAGAGATACGAGTGGGAAAGCAAACTGGTGAGATGTTTTATGCATTAGCTGGGTTAGCTCTGGACACCCAAATTACCCATTCAAACACTTTCCCAGGTGTTGCTGCAATGGAATTTTGTAGATGCAGTTAACACCTATAATCCACATCTATAATTAGTTGACTATAGGTAAAGGAGATCATTTTTAATGTGGGTGGGCCTTATCCAATCAGTTGAAAGGTCTTAAAAACCAAAACCAAGATTTCCTTGAAAAAGAAGAAATTCTGCCTCTAGACTACAGCATCAACTTGGGCCTGAGAATGTGTCTTGCTGATCTACCCTACAGATTCTGGACAGGCTGGTTACCCACAATCATGTGAACTGATTCCTTGAAATCTATTAACTATCTGTCTGTTTACCTATCTATCTACTGTCTATCAATCTAAATATTTCTTCTCTGAGAATCCTGACTGATACACCTGGGTTCCGGGACATTTCTAAATAAATGTATTTGCAGCCTTCATGTTTTTTCCAGGAAATGTGACTGGTTGGTCTGCTGATTTCTGTTAAGTGGAGAAGAATCACTTGCAGTTAGGTGTATTCCTCCGTCTCCAAACCATTGACTGAAACCCTTGAAACAGTCTTTTCTTCAATCAAGTGACTGCCCAGCCCCAGTTTTTCAAATCAGGTGTCATGTTCCCAACCCACCATGCCTGCTGGATTCATAAAGACAATCTGGATTCCAGGATCTCAGGCCTGGATTGGGTGAGCTTCACTGGAATCTATATTTTTTTTGAAAAACTAGACCGGTGTCTACTTTACTGTTCTGAGCAGATGATGTTCTTTGTTTATGAGAGAAATTAGGCCAAATCCAACTTTTCCACAGATGGAGAAGCCTGAATTATTTATCAGAGGCTCATGAATTTGGTTCTGGCAAATGGCAGGGCTGAGGGTGGCTGATTTGTGTTCCACTGTCAGAACAGCTTGATCCCAGCAGGTCCTGGGCTGTTCTGACACAGGGTTGGGTCTGGCAGGGGCCCCAAGGGCTGGCTCTGGATACGGGGTAGATGGGGGACCCTTCCTTGGCTGCTTCTGCTGGGCTCCACTGGTTCCCGGAGTGCTGTGCAGCCAGGCCTTGGCCAGGGCCGTGAATGGCCGGTGGCTCACCTGGGCTTCACTGAGCTCTTGCTGGAGCGCTGGGTGACTGCAGTGGGAGAAGGGAAGTGCGATGGAGAGGGCAGTGTTCATCAAACTTCCCTCCCCCGCTAGACAGTCCTTTCTTTTCTAATGGAACCACAAGGCCAGTTGGTGAAAACTGGGGGTGGTTGGCTGTGTCTAGCATCTCAGCAAATGCCTATCATGTAAAGGTCTATTTCTAGGCTTCTGATGAGCACAGCATCATCATGGAAGAAAGAGTGAGCTCTGCTCTTATTGGGGAAGGTCTCAGGAAAGTGCCTTTCACAGTGTGATCTGATGGTCATTAGTATGTATTTATTTATTTATTTATTTTGGTGGTGCTGGGGATTGAATCCAGGGCCTTGTGCATGCGAGGCAAGCACTCTACCAACTGAGCTATATCCTCAGCCCCTAATACTAACTCTTACAGACTGAGCACGGGTCTTGGGTTGTCCATGAATTAGCTCATTTGCTTTTCAGAATAGCCCTATAAAAGTGCTACGGACAATGCAACCAAGGAACAGGAGCATTCAGGAGCTTGTCCAAGATTTCCTAGCCAGCGAACCACAGAGCTCAGCTCAGACAGCGCGCCTCCCCTGATAGGACACGGATGCACGAGTTCCCAGGCATCTGCAATGGGCCAGAAAGCCTTCTGCCTTTGAGACGCTTTTATTTGAATGGAGAGAAAGAAAAGGATGTCCTTTCTACCCAATCACACACAGACGCAGGCTCTCACCTCCCTGGGAGCTACAGGGTTTTACTCAACCCAAAAGGATCTGGGGACATTGCGTGTTAAGTCCTTAGTTGCCTTGATCTGGGGCATGGAGAGATCTTTAAGGAAGTCTGGGCTGGATTCTAGGAATTTCTGCCTGTTGGGTATATCCTTCTCTGGCCACACAGTCTTCTGTCTCCTTGGGGCTGCTGGCCTGAAAATCTAGTTCCAAATATGCCAGCAGTTTGCTGGTGGCCTGGAACAAATCTGTGTACTTCTCTGGGTCTCCAGCTCTCCTGCTGCATCCCCAGGCATGTGCACTTCTTGTCTGGGTTTCTTTCTGTTTTTTTTTTTTTTCTAGGGCCACCTGGAGGGGACCTGCCCCTTCTGGTGTTGAAGCTGTATAACAAATGATCATGTGGGAATGAGCCAGGAGGCTGCTGAGGTGAGCCTTTAAGTGTTTGGTTTGAACCATTTTAATTTGCATTCAAGTTTAATTACCATCCATCTCTAAGGTTGCCCACATGGGAGAAGAGGCATTTGGGTCCCAAAGATTCTTGCTCCTGCTTCTAAATGCTCCTTCTACTGTATGTGCCTGGAGTGTCTGCCAGCTCCCCTCCTCCATGGGCTCATTTCCTTCCAGGGTTTCAGATTAGAGACCCCCCCCCCCAAACAGCTGCCCCTTCTCTAACCCCTTCCTTCTGAATTCCACAGGACTGCACCCTCCTCTTCTATGTTCTCCTTCCTAATCCTTCCATCTCAGAGGAGGCAGATGGGGAGTGGGTGTGGGGGACAGTTGGGGTAGAAGCTTTTTTGTCATTCCTAATTTAGGCAAAGAGCCAGGGTCTGGATGTGGAAGAGAGACAATAAATAAAAGTTCAAGCCAAAGGAAACTTCTAAAATTCAAGATGTTTTTGGCCTGCCTCCTGAACAGAACTCCCTGGTCACCCCCACTCTTGGCTGATATTGCCTTTAGGACTGGCCAGAGCTTCTCCACCTCTTCTGGACAGCCCTGTCCTCTCCCATCACCCACCAAGTTCAAGGTCTCTTTTTGCCCCACTTCCAGGCTCCTCCCCGCTGCCCCTATCCCAGACCTTCTGGGTGGTACGTATGGGGCCTGGTCCCTGAGCAGGTGCCTCTCAGGTCTGGGTGGGACGTATTTTCCCTCTTGGGGCAGGCCGGCCAGGTCCGGGGAGGAGGGCTGGAGGAGTGAGGGATACTGAGGAGGGGAGGGAACAGGGTAGAGATGGTATGGCAGAGGCAGCCAGAGGAGGGGAGAGAGGCAGGGAGAGGAGGCGGGGAGAGGCCAGGAGAAAAGAAAGAGGAGGGGAGGGGAAGCGGAGGAGGGCGAGCCGCAGCAGCACTTATTGGACTAAATACAGTCCCGGGACAGCAAATAATTGGGGCCTGAGTCAGCAAGTTTCACCCATAATTTCTTAAGCATCTGTCAGGGCACTGCCTCCCCGCCCCCCGCTGCGAGAGGAGCAGCCGCTTCAAAGGGAGCCAGAGCGAAAGCCTCATTTAGCAAATGAGGGGAATGTTTAAAAATAACGCCAGGAGTCACCCTCCATGAAGGCGAGGCCACCCCCTCTCCGGCTGCTCTGCACACCCCTCCCCCAGTTCAGCAAGGCCCTTAGGAAGGACTGGGGCCAGTGGCTGGCGGGGAAGGACAGGGCAGCAGTGTTTGCGAGTGATAAGGGAGAGAGGAGCTATGATCAGGTGTGTGATCGTGGCAGAGGCCTGGATCACCTGTCCCTGACTGTATGTGCAGGCCTCCAAATTGTGGCGCCAGGGCTGGGGCTTGTGACCAGGTGTGACAGTGCAGGGGTGTATTTCTGTTTTGTGAGCCCTGGCCAGCGGGGTGACTGATACATGTCGGTGTTTCCATAAACACATGTGAAACGATGTGTGATGGGTCATGTGTGTGAGGCACACAGACACCGAGGCAGAGATAGAGGCACAGAGACCTATTGGTCCAGGGTACATTTAAGAAATAAATGTTTGGGCCTGGTGCGGTGGCTCACACCTGTAATCCCAGTGGTTCTGGAGGCTGAGGCAGGAGGATCGCCAATTCAAAGCCAGCCTCAGCAAAAGCGAGGCACAAAGCAATTTACTGAGACCCTGTGTCTCTAAATAAAATACAAAATAGGCTGGGAATGTGGCTCAGTGGTTGAGTACCCCAGAGTTCAATGAAGAAAACAAGTGGTTGGCTGCACAGATGCTCCCAGTCCAGCCCCAGTTCCATTTCCTATGTGTTGAGGCCCACTTGTGCACCTTGACTCCAGGTGCCAGCAGCTGGCCTTGCCCCTTGCCATGAGGTCATCTGTCGGGGTGGGTGGGTGGGTGGGGGGGGGGGGGGATGAGGGGGTGGGGGGTGGGGGTGGGGGTGGGGCAGAGTCCTTACCAGGCAGTGGGGTAGTTGAAAGCCGATCTCTTCCACCTGGAATCTTTGACCTCTATTCATGGATCCCCACCCAGGGCCTGGCCAGGCCTTCATAAGACTTCCCACTCCTCATTTTGGTCACTCCCATTACAGCCCCATCAGCAGGTGCTCTCAACTATTTCACAGATAAGACAACCACAGCTTGGAGAGGTCCCACTCCATAGGCATGTGCATATCACACAAACCTATCCAGGTCCAGCCTGGCCCGGTAGGTAGTCCAAGGGGAAGCACAGAGTCTCAGTCATGTAGTGGAAGCCCCCTCTCCTCTCCAGATATCACCCCATAAAAAATGAGACACCCCCACCCCCACCTGCCCCGGTTTCCAATTCCTGTGGCTGCTTTGAGCAGGCACCTCTGGAGGTTTTTTTTTTTTTTTTTTGAGATTATTAACTTGCTGACAAAGAGATGAAATGAGGCCTGGGGAGGGGAGATGGGGAAGGAAACTTGGAAAGCCCTGCCTGATGGGGCATGTGCACACCTGGGTATCCAGAGCACTTTTAAACCCCCAGGACCTCTCACACTTGGGCTGTGCCAATGCCTAGACGTGGCCTAAGTCCTCTCCCCCTGTGCACTCTGATTCTGGGTGAGTCAGCCTACATAGGACGCAGGTGTCCAGAGAGGGTCTGGAGAGTTAGGATGGAGGCCATATACTTCATGGTCAAAGCTAGGGAGGAGGTGTGGCCCTCTTAGTGCCACCAAGCACCACAGGCCGACTTACCACCTTGCACCTTTGCTTTTGGGCTTCAGCACTGCCCACACCTTGCTCCATGCTTCTTCCTGCCCTGGCATTGTCACTCATTCTGCTGAGTCCTCCAGACTGCCTTTGCCATTGTCCCACAGAACAGAGCCTCTTGTAAGGCTTCTCCTGGTGCCAGCCTCCCAGCCCTGGCCAGTTTAGACCTCGGCACCCCACTGACTCTGCCCGTTCTGGGTCAGGCCCGACTTCTTTCTCTGAGCCCCTTCAGAGAAAGCTGGTTTCTGCCCTTACCTTTCCTGTGAATGGGGCTGTGCTTTGGGACTCAGGAGACAGAGAAGGCCCCGAGAACTACAGGTGTGTGTCCTTGCTGCAGAGGCCCTTCTCTGTTCCAAAATGCAGGGGAGCCTTCCCCTGTACAACCACCATCTGCATCATTTATAAACCAAGGCAGAGAGACTAACTGGGGGATGGGGTTCCTAAGCTCACATCTGTTAAGAGCCTGTGGCTGTGTCCTTTTCTCTAATAGGCAGCAGGAGTCCCTTCTGTACCTGTTGAAAGAAGAGGGCTGTGGCTGGGAAGAAAGTTGGAGAGAGAGTCTGGAAAATACTAGAATAGGGGTCCACACATCAGTTCCACCACTTTAGGCCAGGCATGCAGGTGGTCTGGGGCTGGGTGGCCCCCTACCGAAGTGATTGAAAAAATCCATCAGGTACCTATCATATATTTTAAAATAACACACGTGTGTAACACCCCACGCACCCATTTCTGCATCTCAGATCTGATTATCCGCAGCTCGTGCGCTCTCTCTCTTTTTTAATAAAAAATCGCTATAAATCTTTTTGTCACAGAAGATATAAGACATGGGTTTGCTGAAGAAACTGTCTGACTGAATTGTTTTGTAGGCTGCTTGGTGGCGTGCTCTGATTTTTTTTTTTTTTAACTTCCTTACAGCTCAAACTGAATTACAAAGATGAGGAGTGAAGGAAATCTGTCCCTTGTTGTCATGAAAAGAGGGAAGGAAGTGAATAGGTTTAATCATGTGGCTCTTGTCTACACCCCAGGAGCCCTACACATGCCTTCACCATATCCTAGTTCAGGTTTGGCAGGTGGGATCATGGGGAAGAAGGGGAGAAGCCCCAGGGAAAGCCCACAGGATACTCACTGGATACATACCTCCCATTGGAGAGACTCCTTTGCCTCTCACATACGTCCCTATTGCTGTAGTCGACATCATGCACTGTGGGCATGTAGGAAATGGGCTCCTGGGATCTGGGTGATGGAGCCACCAAGGATCTGTATGATAAATAATCCACAGGCAACTCTGAAGGTGTTCATTTGCTGGGAAATGTCTCAACATACCTGTCCTATTAGTCACTAAGACCATGAAGTTTGTTGAAAGAAGAATATACCATCCATTGTGGGGCAGAGTCAAAGAAGAGGAAAACCTGCTCATGTTGCACATGGAATTGGCCCTGGCCAGTCTGGTATTCAGCAAGTGCTCAGCAAGTGGACCTCAGGGAATGCAGGCTAGGTAAGGAAGGTGGAAAGGCTTTGGAGGAAAGGCAGGGAGAAGTATTATGGGAGATGGGAAGGTGGGAGAATGGGGTGCACCTGAGAGTCAAGATGGACATAGCTGGGGGTGGTGGAGGAGATTAGTGTGAAGGAAACAAAAGCTACAGCGAGCAGGGATGTGTGTATCAGCATCCATGCAGAGGTGGAATGGCAGACCTCATTTTGATAGATGTCAGGGTCTGGGGAGTTAGGATGGAGGCCATATACTTTATGGTCAAAACCAGGGAAGAGGTATGCCTATCAAAGCCAGGAGGAGGCATGGTTTAGTGAAAGAACAACACATATCATAGGGTCCAGTAGATCTGCTGTTTGCTATTCGTTGGGCCTGGACCAGTTTTCTACACCTTTGTGTCTCAATTTCCTTAAATGCAAGACTGAGGGATGAGGATACTACCTTCAGTGCTGCTATGGGGATTAAAGGCACAACAGGTATACAGAAAGGTGGGGACATGGGGAACTCTCCAAAGATCACTCCAGGGGACGGGCTACTGGGTGTTTTCTCTAGTTCTTAACAGGCCCCTTTTAGAACAAGGCAGATCTTGCCAGCACAGCGTAAGTGAACAAGACACAGAGCCTGCCTGGTCATTCCTTGGTCTCACCGCCTCGTGGGCTGCTGCCAGAGGAGGCACATTTTATTTGTATTTAATAAAGTCCAGTAGTGCAGCAGCTTATGAATCACAGTGTAACATATGAGAATGGATACTAGATAAATATATATATAATGTGCGTGTGTGTGTGTGTGTGTGTGTGTGTGTGTAAAAAATGCATGCACACATTTATTGGGATTTTCAGGTCCACTGCTGTTATTAATCTGGTTCAAAGCCTGCAGCCTGGTTTAATCTATGAAGTGAAATGGCAAATCTTGATCCGTCCTTCCCTGCTTCTGCTCCCTGCTCTCCAGGACAACACCACACACATGCCATATTAGATTCCATTTTGGTCCTGTTCTGATAAGCAGGAGATTAAATAATGAATGAGATTCCCATTAGCTCAATTTTTTGGGGGCATATTTCAGGCAACCTTTTCCCTTTTTAATCAAATCTGCTCTGTACCGCAGAATATTTTTACATTGATTTGAAAGTAAAGGATTTTTTAAAGGCCCGGTTAGGCTGGCATCCCTGCATATACTAAAAATGGGCCTGCAGAGTATCAGTGAGGTGAAATGGCTGGGGAAGTAGCTA